TGATCAGCATCTGTACCCTCAAATTGCCCAGCAACTATCAGTGTACTAGCTACCTCCATCCCATCTTCAAAATCTCTTATTGAGCCTTCTGTCCGGATCCCCAGCCATGTTATACTGGCTGCTCACAGACTGAGAAACATTCCTTCTAATCTCTCCAGTATGGATTGGCCTTATGTTGTTAAATGGGATAATCCTTCAGGTATAAAATGTAGGAATGTCCCCTGCCCTTGTTTATATGCTTCTCCATCATACTCTTCTCCACCATCATCATCATATGAATCTTCATCCCCAGGATCTGGATGCAAAGCTTGTTAATTCACACACTGCAATGAGCATTGCTCCTAATGCTGATTTATCGCAGACACAAATCTAAATTCAGCAATAAGTTCAACATCATCATCACTGTCTTCCTCTTCATTATCAACAGATTCTTTTGATTCTTCTCCAAATTTGCATTCACCGTAACATAGAAATGTTCTCTCTGATAAGCATTTAGATCTCAGCATGTAAACTGATGGCAGGATATTCCAATGATAATCCTAATCCAGAGCTCTCTAACCAAGACAGGCGGCTCTCAAGGATGTAAAGGATGCCAGTTTCTAGCTCCTTTCTGCCCAGCACAGCCTTGGTACCTGCCTGTTGCTATTGCAGTCCCAGTCCCTCCCTCCACCAGCCCTGGTGGAGGACACTTGAGGCAGCTCCTTGTACCTGGGAGCATTGAGGTAGGCCCACAGGGGGCTGAGGTGATAGCAAGACTGCTTTCCTCTTTACAACTTTTTTCTTTTGGGGCACTCAGCACTTGGATCCCAGCTCAGTTTCCTTCTAATCCCTCTCATGCTTCCTTATCAAACGTTTATTCCCAGTTAGTACAGATACTTATATTCTTCATTTATACAACATTTCTGTAAGTCCTGTGTAGGACTATTGCCAAGTTTACTTGGCTTTTAGAACTTGCAAGTAATTCCTTGATATGTAATCTCTCAGTTCCCTTGACTGTTATTCTCTTATTCTCAGGCTTTCTTCCCCTCTCAGCCACTCTTGCCCTACCTTCCTCCGTCCTTATCTCTAAAAGATAACTTAATAAAGAAAGTGCAGCTCTTCTAGTGGAATTTCTTGTTCTACCTATAATTCACTGCACTAAACTTGGGCACACCTACTGTCATCCATGAGTCTTTCTTGTCACCATTTGTTAATGTGATAATCTATATTTATATCTTATTTCTATCTGATTTCTAGACATTAGCCTTCCCTGCCTTATCAGGGACCTCACATATCTTTTTCCATGTTAGCAAACTCTCTTTAGTTACTCTTTTCTGGGGAGTATTCTAATGAAAAAAAAAGAGAAATACTATTGCACTCTCTTTCCACGGAAGCATAAGTCAAGAAATCAAATGATTTCTATTACAGTAAGCAAATCTGCTGTAAAAGACAACAATGTTTTATGAAACAAAAATTGATTACTAAGGTACCCAAGCCATGGTCTTTTCAGTTGCCTTATATGCATGTGAAAGCTGGACAATGAAAAATAGAAGAATGAATATATTTAAAATGTGATGTTGGTGAAGGATGGACTGCTAGAAGAACAAACAAACCCATCTTGGAAGAGATAGCCAGAATGCTTCATAGAAGGGAGGGGTCAAAGACTTCGACTCCCTTACTTTGGACATGTCATTAGGAAAAACCAGTTTTTTGAAAGTTACATTTGTTTCTCCTTCCCCAAGTATAGGAACAGTGAACGTGCGCGCA